ACCCGCAAACACCGCGTGCGAGCGTGGCTCGTGCTCCGGATCCAGCGGCACCGCGGGCACGGCCAGCGCGGAGCCCGGCTCCCGACGCCACGCGGCGCGCTGCGCCTCGCGGAACTCGCCGTGCCGTTGATCCCAGGCAAACGTTTGGGCTCGGATAAGACACCGGCACGGCGCTCCGTGGCGTAGAGCCTTCACGGAAAAGCATGTTTTGTGGATGTAACGTCCATGGAGTTTGAAAGATCGTCTTTTCAGAAGAAAGAAATTTTGGATTGGGTTACTAAAAGCATCAGCCTGCTTATCAATCTCGGAGCAGCATCTTTAAAGGTCAGCAGTGAAGGAAAATCAGATAGTCATTCTAATTCCCAGCAAACAGGAGCTCATTTTTCAAGAGCCACCCTGCAGGGCTCAGTACCCTGACCTTTCCCGCACAAAGAGGGCGGCCCATTTCCGTCCTCGCGCACGCACCCGCCTTTCCCGGGAATTAAAGGCACTCTGGCTCCCGGCACCGCGTCCTTCGGCAGAGCCCCGCTGCGGCCGCTCGGCCCGGGGACGCCCCGCGAGCCCACGGAAAACACGAACGGACGGGAAAACGCTCATGTACCAAGTGCGCCGCCACCTCCATCCGTTAACACCCAGTGAGTGCCGAGCCTGGAGAAAGGGCACAGTCGTTTTATCGATACGAGTTATTTCCTTCTCGGACCTGAAGCCCTCCAGAGCTCCAAGGGCATCTTAAATTTACTAGCGCGTTATCAGCGTGGCATGCCCTTCTCAGAAGATGTTTCTTTAATTGCTACTGGTATTTATGGAGACAATAAAATAAGACCTGCCCTTCCAAGCTATCACTTGCTTAACATCTAATATATAAAAATATATATATATGAATTGGAATGTAGAAGCCCTTGGAAGGCAGGGGTTCACTTGCGTTGCTAAGCAGGTGGGTAACAGAAGAGGTGCTCCCTGGCACAGCACAACTCCCCGAACACATGCGGGGAGACGACGACTTCGTTGGGAAGCCACAGCCCTGACGCAACCGCTCTATGTGGGCGCTAGAAGCGTCGCTGC